AAAAAGTCAGTTTACATGAAATTTAGCAACAGAATGTTTTCATTCAGTTTTCTGGTTATCTGAAAGAAAAAAAAATAAACAGTACATACACTGGTTTCTAATCCCAATTTATGTCCTATAATAGTAATTACAGGTGATTCTTCAGGATAATCCCTTAAATACCAAAGCGTTAGGCTTTTAGTACAGCATAATGGTTAGGGTTTGTATGAGCTTTACAATCAGAAGGACCCAGGTATAATTCTAGTCACCATCACTTTTTACTACCTATATTATCTTGTACAAAGTCACTAATTCTTCAAAAGTAAATTGGTTCATCTGTGGAGATAATAATACTTATCCTTAAAGTTAGATACCACGAGTAAACAGTCTCTGGCATACCGTAAGCACTCAATATAAGATAGCTGTAATTTTTACTTACATTGGCCACAACTTTTACTTCCTTATACTGTGCTTCATAGAAAATTCCAGCATTTTCCAGTGCTTCTGTTAGTGAAGGCCCATTTTTCACCTGCTTATCCAGTCCATTCACAAATTCTTCCAGCTTAGAGCTTGCCTCTTCAAATTCTTTGGAGAATTTCTTCCCCCCAGTTTTATCTAAAATAATAGAGAAGGTATTTATTTTCTAAAAATTTTACTCTTTTGAGGACAGTCCCTGTCTGTGAATCAATTCATGTGAGTCTGTGAACCTCGTTCTGCTTGGTGTATAATGTGTGTGTGTGTCTGTGTGTGTGTGTGTGTGTGTGGTGCTGGGGATTGAACCCAGTGAGGCAAGCACTCTACCAACTGAGCTATATCCCCAGCCCAGTGTATAATATTTTTAGTCTTAGTTTTATATTTTTTTAAATATTTTTTCTTTAGTTGTAGATGGACACAGAACTTTTACTTTATTTGTTTTTATGTGGTGCTAAGGATCGAACCCAGAGCCTCATGCATGCCAGCCAAACATTCAACCACTGAGACACAACCCCAGACCTTAGTTTTATCTTAAATCACAAAATAGATTCATGTGGATCTGCTAAAGTGAAGAAGAGTGGAGGTATCTATAATTAAGATAAAGATGAGCTGGGGCTGGGGCTCAGAGGTAGAGCACTCACTTATCACGTGTGAGGCACTGGGTTCAATCCTCAGCATCCCATAAAACAATAAATAAACAAAAATAAAGGGATTGTGTCCATTTAGAACTAAAAAAAATAATTGAAAAAAAAAAAAAGAAAGAAAAGGAAGTTCAACTAAAACAAAGTTTGTTGTACTTCTTTTCTTCACAAATTTGATGCTACACTGCTACTTAGGAGTAAGAATGAAGCTCAATTCTGTTCACTTACATTGTATCAACGTTCAGAAAAGTAAATGGATCTTTCTGTATACCACACTAAATATCCTTTTCTCTCTGAAAAAGATACTTAGTAATTTGATATATACTTCTTTTCCAGTGACTTGGCTTTAGAAATGGACATAAAGTTGGGCTTTGCCTCTTATCAGCTGTGTAACTTGACCAAACTACTCATCTCCTTATGAAGTGAAGCCTCAGATTTCTCATGAATTAAGAGATTTTTTAGAATGCTTCTGGGTTGTTGTGAGAACTAAATTAGATCACACTCAATTAAAGTATGGTGCAGACAATAGCTAAACTGTGGAGCCAACCTAGATGTCCTTCAGTGGATGATGGATTAAAAAAAAAATGTGGCATTTATACACAATGGAATATTACTCAGCAATAAAAAAGAGTAAGATCATGGCATTTGCAGGGAAATGGATAGCATTAGAGAAGATAATGCTAAGTGAAGTTAGCCAATCCTCCCCCCCCCCAAACAAATGCCGAATGTCTTCTCTAAAGGGGCAGACTCAAAATGGGGTTGGGAGGGAGGGCAAGGGAGGAAGATTACCTCTAGATAGGGGTGGGAGGGAAAGGGAGGAAGAAGGGGAATAGCATGGATAATGAAAGGAGACCCTCATCATTATATGTTTATAATACATGTATGAAGATGTGAATTTGGTGTCAACATATCTTATATATAATCAGATATGAGATTAAATTATTGTATAATGGTGTATTAAGAACCGTAATGCAAAATAAATTAACTTTTAAAAAAATAAATAAAGTGTGGTGCAGAAAAAAAATATGTGCCAAAATGAATAGCTAGTAGTCATTTACTCACTATTTCAAAGAGATTTATCAAATGCCTATTATGTAATAAGGACTGCTTTAGACACTAGAACTTGTAGATGGACAGAATGCCTTTATTTATTTTTATGTGGTGCTAAAGATCAAACCCAGTGCCTCACACATACCAGGCAAGCTCTCTGCCACTGAACTACACCCCCAGCCCAACTGACTAGATTTTTTTTTTTTTAGTTGCAGATGAATACATTACCTTTACTTTTCTATGAGGTGATGAGTGAGGATCAAACCAGTGTTTCACAAGTGCTAGGTAAGCACTCACCACTCAGCCACAACCCTGGCCCCAACTAACTAGATTTTACAAGGCATTACAGTGACTTATTAAAGGGCACATCCAAACCAATTAATCACACATATGAAATACAAATGCTTACATAAAATTCAATACATCAAGAAAATGAGAATAAGAATTTAATTTATATGAATGAAGTCACTATTAGGAAAATCAGAGATACCACAACTGTTTTTAAGACCTAACGTTCTCTGGGGTAAACCAGTCTTAATTACCTGAAAACTCTAGATGAGGAAATAAAAAATCTGAATTATTTTGTTTAAAAGAATATAAGTATTACCTTTTAAGCATTTGAGGGTTTCTGTGCTGCATACATCCACCCTCATAGTTGACAACTGTTTCTCCTTTAATTCTATCTGATCTTCTGAGCGCTTATATAGCAACAGTTCTTCAATGAGGGCCTGAGACTGAAGACAGACCAGAGTCATATTTCATTTATAAGATCATTCAATTGTTTCTCCTTTTACCTCTCCCTTCATTTTTTTCCTCACAGTCAGGGATATCAAAGATATTTCTCGTGTCAAAATTATATTTCAGTTACCTACTTTAATTATTCAAAGTTAAATTATGGATACAGTCTTAAGAAACAGATAAAGGTCCACTTAAATTTTTTTTTTTAATTTTATTTTTTGGTACTTGGGATTGAATCAGGGGTACAAAACCACTGAGCTACATCTCTAGCCTTTTTACTGTATTTTATTATTATTTTTTAGACGGGGTCTTACTTAGGGCCTCACTAAATTGATGAGGCTGGCTTTGAATTTGTGATCCTCTTGCCTCAGCCTCCTCAGTCACTGGAATAACAGGCATGTACCAACACACCCAGCTACTCACATTCTCTTTAAATTATAGTTACATAAACATAGTCTTCTCAACAAAAATTCTAATTTAGCAGAATTTCACTGATGAGCCTTCTTGTTAGCATAAATTCAATACAGAACTTAGTTGATACCACACAGTCTGGAAGGTTATATTCTAGACAATCTAATTCCAATCTGGATTTTATTAGAATGATTCAAGCATGTTTAGAACATAACCAATATAAAATTTAGTAAAAATAAATTTTACTAAACTATATTAAAAGGGATAAATAATGTTTTGCTCTAGTTAATATATTTAATAAGTTAACATTTAACTTACTCGAAACTCAGCAACTATCTTAGACTTGAGAGCAGCTTTTGGATTCGTGGATGCTGTTGGAATTAAACAAAAAGTCATTAAGAATATAAGGAGTTGACTAAACTCAGGAAAAATCTTAGCTGTATAGTTAAGGATGTACTCTTTGAACATATGACAAACATGCACATTTAAATCATAATATACTTCTTAGAATAAATAATGAACTATGAAATTTAAATACTCCCAAACATAGTCAATATAAAAATAAACTATTTATATAGGCCTAACCAACTTACCTCGAATTGGACCCAGAAGTCATAGAGTCCTAGACTCACTGATTTGGAGATACATGAAGTACCTGCTTTTTCTATACTGACTGAGAATGTAAGAGAGTCTCAAAACCTCAACATGACGATGTTTAGGAATAGGACATAAAATTAACCCTGAGCACTGGTTGAAAAATTTACTTACAATTATCAACTCTATTCCCATATGTTTAGTTTTGGATTTATTTTCTGTTAACTCACTTCACAGCAAAACCACGCAAGGACAGTTCTCAGTACATTATCACTGTGGATGAACTATGGCTGGAATGATGACTCTTGTTGTTCTAAGCATGCAACTTATGACCAAGAAGATGTCAGAGGACTCCCCTTAACCATGATGAATATCATATGCTTGATGGAGCAAACCATTGCAAATGTCTTGTTTCACCTCCCAATTCTCACTTTTACCTTGTTCCCTCCATACCTTCAAGTCTCTCAATATTCCTCAGTTTTCCCACAGAAGCCTATCACATGCAGTATTCCACTCCCTTGATCTCATGCTGGGTAAACATGATAAACACAACAGGAGCTCCAGTTAGAGAATGAGCTTCTTGCCAGGATCTGAGGCCCATGTCTAATTGGTAGAATGTATCCCCAAATCTGAAAGATTTCATGGCTCCTACAAAAATGCTTCTCAATGCCTAGTCTCTTCTTCAGCTCTGTGGTTTAATGCCAGCTGCCTCTAACTTCATATATCTTTGAACCTGAGAATTAGCCTGAGCACTATCAAGTTTTGTTTTGTTTTTCTTCTTTCAATCCCCCAACTACTCTTGAATCTTCACTCAATTAAACCCTTTTTCTGCATTTTCTTTGTTTAATAGTGGTTTTTAAAGAGGTAACTTCATGGTAGCTTGTTTAATGTAAGTCATTGGGAGCCTCCCCGGCCTGGAAAACATAGGCTTGCCCATGGTTTATGCCAGGTACGATGTCAAATAGTCTACATTTTCTTCTGCTCCAAAAAGAGGAGGTAATTTTATATTAGTTGAGATTTTGTTCCTTACTTTGTGATTTCTTCCACTGCTTATTCGGTTGTTTGTTCAGATTTTCTTTCAGCTGCTTCTGAGTTTTGAAACTGGTACCTGGAAAACATTTCAGTTTTTGCAATCTGGCATTATGGGAAGCTGTTCTGTCTGTCCACTTCAGTGCCAAAGTTGTAGTATGAAAAAAGGCAATCCGAGACTGTGTTGTTTCTTTCTTTTCTTTAATTTTTATTAAAATTATGTCTATATATCTATATCTATATAGATATATAAAAACACCCACCAGATCTAAGAAGCCATCAAACAATTTCTATAAGATATTACTGATCTGAAAAGAATAGGGCAGAAGGCTTAAAATATCATTTAACAAATTCAAATGAAGAATTTAACAGCTTCTTAGAAGATGGTATTTTGAAAGCAAATTTCTAGTCAAATAATGATCATGATAGCAGATTACCCCCAACTTCTATTCAATGACTTAATTACATGCATCAAATACATAAGGACAAAATTACTAAAAAAACAAACAAAAAACACCCCAAAACACAGGTATATAACTTACTGCAAACCTCAATCAAAACAAAGTCTGAAGACTGCCAATATATACTTACTACCAAAAAGCTTAGGAAGAAATTAAACCCTGTACAAAAATTCTCCAATAGTAAGAGAACACAGTAGCATTTATTTATTTGAACAATGAAGAACACTTTTGAAATATTCAATTAAAGCAAATGCAGGAAAATAATCAGATGACTATCATCACTTATTATGTTTGATTTTTTTTTTAGTCAATAAAAACAAAATCCAAATCCCTGCCTCTCAAATCAATTCCACTTAAATTTTAAATTCAAACAGATCTAGATTTTTACAAATACTTAATTTTAAACAACAGGACCAGATTCAAAATTTTGTTTTTAATTATTATACAACCAGACTGGGTCTATAGATATATAATTGTACAGAGTGACTCAATTTTTGTTTTATGAGAGAAAAGACACTTACTCAAAGCCTCTCTCAATGCCACAATCATTTCTTCTGGGTATACATTTCTATCTTCCCAGATTTTAAAGATTCGTTCTACAGACTTGGAGACAGATGGATCCCTGAAGAAAAAGAGATTATAAAAAGATTGACTCAAATTCAAAGCTAGAAGTGTAAAAATCAACAAAATTACTATTTTCCAAGTTTTTCCTGATGTTTATTTTTAAATATTTTTTCCCTAAATGCTGAGTATTTTTATGATTAGATTGATGAACCAATTTGATTTGGAATAAAAAGTTTTCATAAAATATAATTTTTTTTCTTAGTGTTTAGGGTTAAAGAAATCGTAAAAACTTTATTCAACACTTTTGTCAAGGACAAAGAGAAGGCTATGGATGACATACTAAACTTTGTGATGGATATGAAGTAGATGCTAGTCAATGCACTAAATGACACAACTGGTATTCCAAAATATAGGTTGAATCTAACAAGATGAAATTTAATAAGAACCTGGTTCAAAAAACAAAACAAAATCCAAAATAATTCTGCCACTAAAAGACAAAACTTAACAATACTGTGCACTGTATCCCCCCACTCCCCATTGCCTTTAAAAAATTTTTTTGGGGGGGATTGTAGATGGATACAATACCTCTATTTTATTTATTTATTTTTATGTGGTAATGAGGATTAAACCCAGTGCCTCACACATACTGGGTGAGTGCTCTACCACTGAGCCACAACCTCAGCCCTCCCCCATTGCCTTTTATTTTTAACATTTTCCCCATTTAAAAAAAAAATTTGTTCTACTTAGTTACACATGACAGCAGAATGCACTTCAATTCGTTGTACACATAGAGCCCTACTGCCCTTTAAAGGCAATAATTAAATAATTTTAATAAATCCTGTTTCAATATGTTGTCTAAAAAACTATGGAATGATACTGTAAGAATACATTATCTAGAATGAGGGAGTTGAGATGTTATTGTTATTGTTTGGGCTCACATATGAGCTCTCAGTTCAGGTTGGTTATCCCACTTTAAAAGCAAAGTAGTGAAAGAAAAAATGAGACATAATTACCAGAATAAAGAATTATGTCACTATCCCCTTGCACCCTGACACACACACTGGGGCTTAACCCAGGATTATGCACATGCTACTTTCCAATCCCTTTTTATTTTATTTTACTTTGAGACAAGGTCTCACTAAGTTGCACAGTTGCCCTCAAACTGCATCAGCTTCATGAGTAGCTGGGATTACAGACATGTGCTACTAAGCTCAGCAAAACTATGTTTTAAGTGAACTATAGAAGGAATAAGAAAAAACAATGTTGAGAGGCTTGTGAAGAAGAGCAAGGAAATGAATCAGTGACAGGTGTAGTGGTGCACCTCTGCAATCCCAGGGACTCCAGAGGCTGAGGCAGGAGGATCACAAGTTTAAGGCCAGCCTCAGCAATTTAGAGAAGACTCTCAGCAACTTAATGAGACTGTCTTAAAATAAAAAGGACTGGGGATGTAGTAGCTCAGTGGTAAACAGTGCCCTTAGGCTCAATAAAAAGATGAATCAGACTGATATGATCCTAGAAGACAAAATAAGAACAAAAGAAGACAGATATAGGAAAAGAAATTTTGTACAGATCTGAGACAGAACCTTCTAACACCCTAAAACAGATCTGTCAAAAGACAAAATGGGAACTTCTTAAGTGAACTCATCAAACCATAAAGAAATGAAAGTAAAGATAATAAACTAACCTAATATCAACATAAGAGTCTATGTGTTCACAAAGGATTTCCTTTTTTTCCCCTAAGAATGAATAAAAAAAAAAAAATGTATTAAGATTCTAGAAAATCGGGCTGGGGATGTGGCTCAAGCGGTAGCACGCTCGCCTGGCATGAGTGCGGCCCGGGTTCGATCCTCAGCACCACATACAAACAAAGATGTTGTGTCCGCCGAAAACTAAAAAATAAATATTAAAAAAATTCTCTAAAAAAAAAAAAGATTCTAGAAAATCATATTTTATAGAGGTTTACTAACTATAATGGAAACTGTACTTTCATTTCTTCCTTATATTTTTTTATGCTGAGATACTTTTTCTCATAAAATACACACAAGTAAAACACTGACAAAATTACGGGAAAGTAAAGAAAAAACTCCACTCGCTTTCACCAAATGGAAATTTATAGGATAATAGTTTCAACACTACTTGTCTTTCATCATTTTATCCTATGAATGTTGATATTTGCAACCAATTATAAAACATACACAACACACAAATTGCATTCTATTCTTTTCGCTTTACAATCATTTCCCAATGTTCCGATCAACTCTTTGTAAAGATTTTCTTTCTCTTTTTTAGGGTCGGGGATAGAGGGGCTTGTGTCTAGGGGTGCTCTACTCCTGAGCTACATATCCCAGTCCATTTCGCTTTATGAGACAGTGTCTCACGAAGTTGCCCAGGCTGGCCTTGCACTTGCCATCCCCTGCCTTATTCCCCAGAGTGGATGGGATTATAGGGGTGTGCCCCTGCACTAGCATTTTCAATCACTATGCCATATTCCATTAAGATTTATGCATTTTTTTGGTTCAAGGTACTGAACCTAGGGGTGCTGAACCACCCAGCCACATCCCCAGCCCTTTTTAGTAATTTACAGACAGGGTCTCACTGAGTTTCTGAAAGCCTTGCTAAGTTGTTGAGGATGGCTGGCTTTCAACTTGTGATCCCCCTGCCTCAGCCTCTCAAGCTGCTTGCGATCACAGGTGTGTGCCACTGCGCCTGGCTTTAATTTTTATTCAATATTCCCAAGTACAAATTTATTAGGTCTCACACTATTTCCTTCTAAGGCTATTCTGAGGTATCTCATATATTTTACTGACAGTATGTATGACTGACCCTTCTTCCCATTGCTTACTTTCCAGAGTAAAACTGATTCAGAATTTTGTTGATGGTAAAGTATCTCAGCTGTTCCTTTTCAGTAAGTTTTTTTTTTGGTACCAGAGGCTGAATTCAAGGGTATTCGACCACTGAACGACATCTGACTGCTTAGAGCCTTGCTGTTGCTAAGCTGGCTTTGAACTTTTGATCCTCCTGTCTCAGCCTCCCTAGCCACTGGGATTACAGGCATGCACTACTGAGCCTGGCCATTAATTTTTTGGCAAGAGCTCCATCACTGAGCCCCAGGACCCCCCTTCCCTTTTTAAACAAACAAACAAAAAATATATATATTTTTAGTTGTAGATGGAATCAATACCTTAGTTTATTATTTTAAAAAATATTATTAAATTGTAGATGGACATAATACCTTATATATTCATTTTTATGTGGTGCTGAGGAATGAACCCAGTGCCTCACACATGCTAGGCAAGCACTTCACCACTGAGGTACAAACCCAACCCCCCATCATTCCTTTTCATAATTTTTTTGAAGTAGGGTCTCTGCTAAGCCTCAGACTCCCAAGCCAAGGATTATAAGCATGTGCTACCGAGCCCAGCCAGGCCTCTCATTCTAATTTTAAGTTTTCCAAATCCTTATTTCTCTCTTTTTTTAAAAAAATATTTATTTTTTTGGTGTTAGTTGGGCAGAATATCTTTATTTATTTATCTTTATGTGGTGCTAAGGATCAAATCCAGGGCCTCGCACTTGCTAAGTGAGAAGTCTACCGCTGAGCTACAGCCCCAGCCCTCCTTATTTCTCTTAATGCAATGTAATTTCCTCAGAACTATATTCTAGTTTGTTCTTTTTTTCTTTTTCAGAATTCTTATTGATTCTTTAATAAATCGTACCCGCTGTTCATTTTATTTAATCTTTAATATTCCTTGCATATAGGTGTTTTATATAGTCTGTTTAATACTTGGAATATAAACAACTCATGGGAGGCCAGAGTCAAAATCTGTTGGTTTTCACTTACGGTGGTGGTTTATTTCCCTGTGTTTGGAGATCTTTGATTGTGAGTACCTATTTGTTTGATCTCAATCCATGGGACTTTTTATGGCCTTCTGGATGACAGGGAGAACTAATGATACAAAGTTACACTAGCCTCCTCCAGAGCCCCTCTAACTGCTTTGGTCATAGGGAACTATTGATATGAGTATACTGTGTTAATGTCAACTCGGCCATTCTACTCTGTTTCATTCCTGAGTCAGCTAATATTTTGTCAATTATGTAGCAACTGCTACCTCTTTTCTTGTATAATCACAAAAGCCTGAAATTTTTGAACTTTAGGTAATACTAAAATACTATTTTTAAAAATCAAGGAAAAGACCTTGCCTTCATAGTAACTTCTTTGTTGATCATCTGTTACTACCCATATGGGCAAAATTTACAGAAAAATACTCTTATGGAAGAAAAAAAAGCATGAGTGACAGGATGGATAGTAACTAATAATAACTCAATGTTAAAAATGCAGTGTGGGGGGGACTGGGGTTGTGGCTCAGAGGTAGAGCACTCGCCTAGTGCGTGCAAGGCCCTGGGTTCGATCCTCAGCACCACATATAAATAAAAATAAAGGCATTGAGTACAACTAAAAGAAATAAATATTTTTTAAAAATGCAGTCTCAGGTTTCTTTTTTTCTTTTCTTTTGCACAGTATGGGGGACAGGGTCTTCTACATTGCCCAGGCTGGCCTTAAATTTGTGATCCTCAATCTTCTGAGCTGCTGATATTATATGAGCCACCATGCACAGCTCCTAAAGTAATTTGAGTAAGATAATACTGCTATAGTTAGAATGGCTTAAAAATCTAATTAACATTTCTTAAATTCTCCACCTGCTAACTTAGATTTGCTTAATTCATTAATATTCTTTAGAAATACAATCTGGCTGAGTGTGGTAGTACAGGCCTACAATCCCAGCTACTTTAAAATCCCAGTTACTGGGGAGGCTGATGCAGGAGAATTGCAAATATCAAGCCTCTCACTAGATAACTGAGTGAGACCCTGTCTCAAAATTTAAAAATAAAAAGGACTGGAAATGTAGCTCAGTAGTAGACCACTTGCCTAGCACACACATAAGGCTTTGGGTTTAATCCCCAGTTCCTCGAAATACAAATAAACCCCCAAACATTCTGATGGCATCCAGAGCAAATGATTAAAACCTCACTTTGTCTTATAGGGAATGAGATTGTAAGTAG